AACACATTCTTCGTAACAGTTCGCTCAATAACACTATGTAATTTTATTATTTTTTTAATAATAACAACTCGATTCAAATTCATGATAAGAACTTTTAAAGAAAGTCAATACAAAAGTCAATACAAAAACTATAAAGAAAATGTTTATTCAATTTTATAAATGTTATCGGAAAATCGTAAAATGAAAGACAGATAAAAAAAACAAGTGATTATATAATGTTAAGGTTAGCAACGAATTGCGGATCATCTATTTCTAAGAGTCTCGATTCCTTAAGCGTGTCCTTTTGGAAGCGATAAAGGAGAGAAGTCATCCAGCATCAATTCAATTAACAATCGGAGTAGGTTAAGACAAGTGAAAACGCTATGTTCGCCTAAGAGTAGATCATTGCTTTCTATTGCTTCAAACAACTTGAAAATATTTAGTTAAATATACATAAGGCTGCACAGCTGATAGATAGCGACAATTGACTTTAAAAGATTATCGGAACTGATTTTTACGTAAATATCATTTTACGTGTTGTGTAGGGGGTTAAAGTTAAAGCTTATGATATCCCCTCTGATTGCAACCCTGCACTCATTTACTACAAATTGTAAGTTATACTTTTATTCACTATCGTGGGCGGCATATCGTGACTATTTTTCAAACTTGATGTTAGGCCATTAGCTAAGCGTGTGTGTGTGTGTGTGTTGGACGTAAAAAAGATAAAAGTGGAACTTTGGTATATCCTTATACTCCGCTGGTTAGTACAAAAGCGATCCGATGACGATGATTACCGTAAGCAACGTAAGCAACGAAGACCAATCGGTATATCTACTTGTTTTCGTAAGCAAACTTGAATTAAATTCATTCAAAGCATTATTTTTAATGAATAGATTTCTCGAGACCTTAAAGCGATTTAGCCTTTCTTACAAGCTGATGAAAGGTTCAATTGAAATGTTAATAAAGGAACATTGAAAGAAGAAAGAATTGAAAGAAAACTCTTTCAAGGCACTTTAACGTAATCCATCGGCATATCCATCTTTTATTAAAGAATTTGCTGAATTTCAAGTCATCAACTCGAATGAAGAAAGATAAAAAAAAATAAAAATAAAACGTAAAGCTATTCACAAGCAAGATCGAACGTGACATTTGTCGTATTGAATAAAAAAATACTTTTTCTCATCTCGCGTTTTGATCATCCCTATGTAAGAAACAAATCAATGATATATATTTTTTTTTTTTTTTTTTTTTTTTGATATCAAAGTCGATGACACTAATAAAAGTGATAATCACATTTGAAATGATCAAAGTGCACTAAAACTACAATAAACGAATTCTTAGTAATTTATTGATAGATAGTTGTAAGCTGCGTTGATTAGCGCGACAAAGAGATTAATTTTAAATTTAAAAGAATTTCTATTTAATTCGTTCATATCGTTGAACTAATGATTGCAATTTTCAATCTATGCTCTTCCAGAAATTGTAATAGATAGGGCAACATGACTAATCTTTACTATTAGTAGAAAAAAAGTTTATTTGTCTGCCTAGTTACCCCTAGGTGCCCCTCATTCACGTGTCGTGTGCACCACGACTTACATAAAATGGCTTTTAAAAGTTATAAATACTTGCTTTCTTTATCACTTTTACCCTAAATATGAGAGATGAGATTTAAAATCAATTTCTGTCCCTCTCTGCGCCAAATGTAAATTTATAGATTACCTATACTAGATCAGTGCGTGCGACTGAAACATTGAAATTTAGACGTTCAAGATATAATTATAAAAATTGCATTCCAGTGTTTTTTTAATATCAAGAAGGGATCAAGTCATCGCTCTTGTGTACCAAAGGTAAAAAATTCGGCTTCGTATTTGTTGATTTGTGATCCTTTGCTTGTCCGTTATAAATAATAAGATTTCACTGAAAAGCAAATAGCAGTCGATTGTTTTTTGGCCGCGATATAGCATACAAAAAACGAAAAAGCGAAAAAAAAGGAACAAAAACAAAAACAAAATAACATTATATACATAATTACTTGCCTTTCACTAAAATGAAGATGAAAGTATAAAAGATAACACGGATAGCGAGGAGAACTTGTAAAGTGCAAGGACGAAAGCGAGTTTGGAAGATACAAAAGAAGAAGAGAAAAACCTACACACATGTATAAATATATACACATTTTTTTTTTTTTTTTCTTTGTTATCATCATTAATTTACCATCTATCCAAAACGGTAATAAGCAAAGGTTATATTGTCCCCATCAGGGACAATAATCTTTCTCATCTTAATACACGATATATAAACATATATATGTGTATATATATCTATGAAATATATACAAATTTTTTATTTGGAAGAAAAAAAGAAAAAAAAAAAAAAGAGAAAGAAAGAAAGAAGAGAAAAAAAAAAATAGGTTTTAACCTTGACAATGAATCATTTATTATTGACCGGCTAAAATTTTTTCATTTTCTTTTGTTCTTTGTCTTAGAAAAATGAAAGCATTTCTCGTTACTTTATTCTTCGGTTAAAACACTTGTTCGTAAGAAACATTTGTTTTCTTCAAAAAATTGTTTTGAGCGTTCATTTACTTACGTTAAAAATCCTTTAAGTTAAATAGTGCTTAAATGAACATATTACGTTAGTTTGGCCAGGGTTTTCGTTAATATTGCACCGCGCGCACTGAATTCTTACTGAAGACTGACTGTTCGGTTAGACAATAGTATGATGAAAATATAGTTTCAGTATGTCTTTCATTTCTTCTTTACAGTAATCAGTAAATAACACTCACTTCACTCACACTGCGCACATATTGAAAGTACGCGTATAACATACATACATACGCGAATACCAATACATTATCATATTTTTTTCATAATCAGCCAGGCAGACCGGCATTAAGTTAGTCAATCACTAACATTGTATTGCTGCTGCCACTGCTTTGTGAATTGAACCGATTTATTTTTTACATATTATTAATATTTACTTGTTTCTCACTTGTTAATGTGTTTAATATCTGTTTGAAAGTTCTGCAGATGAATGTGTGTGTGTGTGTGTGTGTGTTTGCGTGCTTATGATTACGATGTATCATTTCGGAGACTGAAAACGAACGAGAAAAAAAAAGAAAAAATACTTTCGCGTATATTGTTTTTTTTTTTGCTTTTTTCACTATTATTATTAGTAGTAGTTGTGTGCTATTATATATCTGAGTACAATTTTGCATAAATGTGCGCGTTTCCTTGTGAGTTCAAGTGTAATGTATTCGTGTCGCATCATTGCAAATACCATTTGCCATTTGCGCAGGCACTCTGATTTGAAATCCGCGCTTTCTGGTCCCTAACTTATCGTTATGCGTGTGCATCTATCTTTATGAAATATAAAATATCTGTACTCACGGGAGCCATTGTCGTGCACAACAAATCTTCTTCTTACACTAACCATGATTCTTACAAATTATTCTCCAGTTCCAAGTTTCCAAGGAGATAATGTCCCCTTTACGTGTAATAATACCGTGGAAATACCGCCGGAAAGAAATGAGAAAAGAGGAAGGGAAAAAGAAAGACGACACTAAAACAGAATGAAAACCATTTAGAGCTATATTGCCGGAGCCGTACGAGTAGCTTTGAACATCACAGTCATAGAAATAGTTATGATAGATAATAGAACGCAAAAAATCAAATATAGTTCTATTGCATCGCAAGACTCCTCCAAATTCGATCTATCACGCAATTGGCAATAAGAAGTTATTTAAAAACATCTGTAAAGTAACCTTCTCAATGACCCTAAAAAGTATGTTACACTAATATAGATAAGTTACTCTCTCCCTCCCTCTCTCTCTCTCTCTCTCTCTCTCTCTCATGTTCTCATTAATATATCATTGGTTAATATTTTCTTAAATCTTAATAGTGACTAAGTGTAACAATAATTTTGCTCTGTTAAAAAATCTATATCTACACCTAGGTCACAGCGTCCATTGCTTCTTTAGAAAACACACTTAAAAAAAAAAAAGTTTAAGAGGAATAGTCAAAAATGGTTATGACATCGATTCCTATACGAAAAGAAATATGTATTTATATAGGCAAAAATGGTTATAATTTCGACTCCGATATGAAAAGAAAAATTTTTTTATATAGTCAAAAATGGTTATAATATCGACTCCAATATGAAATGTTTATTTATATAGGCAAAAATGATTACAATTCCAACTCCGGCAGGATAGCACTGAACTGAAAGTCAAATAAGCATGATAGTATTCTTGCCTAACTATTCTATGGTTTATACACCCGACATTTTTATCATTTATATTGATTCCTTTTTGCTTATAGACGCGATAGACGTCCGATAAAAACGTCCGACGACTTTGCTCCGAACTTTTCTCTATCCGACTTAACATACCGTTTCCTCAAATATCCTTGAGACGGTCCTCCTTTGTACAATGTAAGCATGTAATTGGATAAAATCGACTTCCAGCTGTTCGCTCGGAATAACTCGTCGAAACACGTACTCAATTTAGTTGATATGAAGACTGACTGAAACTAATAAAATAACAACAATGCTACGCAATAACTTTATTAAAATATATTATAAAGACTTTCATCACGATGAGTATATATTACCATTCCGGATCCGTTCATTCACAATCTTCAGATTGTTAAGCTTATATGGAATATATAATTATCTTAGTGAAGGCTTGATCAGTCGTCCACAGGCAATGTCCGACAATGAATTTAAAAACGAATAATAATGAAGAGAGAGAGAGAATGTCGATCGACCGAAACGAAGAAAAAGCTCAAGGATAGTGAAAAAAGGAGTAATCAAGTAACGCAAAACAGGGAGATGAGAGAGAACCCGATAACTTATTGCGCGCATCGACTAGACTGGACTATAGAATACAATCGAAACTAAAAGAAATCTATTAACTTGCAATGAATATTAAAAAGCTATGTATCTTTTAAAAAATCTCATTTTACAATTGCAATAATTTTATTTCATGTTGTTTTCCGTTTCTTCTTTTTTTTTTTTCTTCTCTCTAATTTGTTCTTATGTGCACAAAATAAAACTTGTTAATATTCTACAAATACATGATAAATTGGGAGCAATCTTCAAGTCGCTAATTGTAGTTAATTCAGATTTCGTACATCCTTGCATTTACAAAATTTTAATAATGCATCAGCATTTAAAGCAATCAGTTTGAGATTCTTAACTAATTCTTAGATTGTATTGTTAAAATTTTATATTCAAAATTTAGATTCAATTTCATTCAAAAATAATTTTATTATAAATATGTTTCGCTATAATAGAAAATCAGTTACTACTATACATACAAAAAGAATTTCAAAGAATAATTGCATTTAAATTATTTTCAAATTCAATATTCTTTCGTTGATGTCAAGGTGTGTCTAACCGCCAAATTTCAAATTAAATTGTGTCAGAACGACATCAAAGTTTATAAAGCAGCTTATTTCAGCTCGGAAGGTGAGTCTAAAGTGGTAGGTATATAATAATCTTAAGGCTCGCATATTACATTAATCTACATTTTAGCCATAATGGTGCAAGAGTCTAATGCAAAAATGTCTCGAAAACTAGCTTTTAATTACAAATTGCAATAATAATAATAATAATAAAATAAATAAAAAAATTAATCACTTTAAACTCTCTCCCTCTGCGTGCTTGTGTGTGTGTGTGTGTGTGTGTATGTATGTGTGTGTTCATTTCGCTTGCAAATCTATTGTTTTAAGAGTCCACAAAATTTCCAAACAATATCGGAATCGCTAATAATATCGTTGTTTATGTTTGTGTCAATTTGAAAAAGTCTTTCATACTTTTTTAGCACCGAATTCAAATGACAAGCTTGTAAACATGGGTCCTTTGTTAGATTGATTATATATGAACAAATAGTATCCGATTTACAACCTAATGGTTGCACTAATAGAAAGGCGGTTGTCAAAGCTATAAGTTGGGCTTCATCTAAAGGTAAGGCTTTGGTCTGCAAAAAAAAAAAAAAAAAAGAAAAAAAGAAAAAAAGAAGTTATATAATATTTGAAATTATCGTCGTACATATAAAATATTTTCATTTCCAGTTACCTCAAATTCTGCGCTTGTGGTTTGAGTTTCAGTTTCCACTTGCACTCTTTTATTTAAACTTTTTAAGTTGATTGGCTTAGTATTGGTAGTTAAGCATTTCGGCGCTTTCAATTCTTTTGATATTTCCTGCTGGGCTTGGCCTTGCTCTGTTTTATTAAATTCTTCCACGATCTTCACCTCGTCATCACTTTTATCCACATCAATGTCGATAATTTCCGAATTATCTACATTTCGATTTTTCTCCGCTTCTTCTAATTCACAAAATTCGCTCGTTTCCGAATTCACGCTAGACTGTTCGCGATCCTTCAGCTTTTCGGTCGTCTCACGTATTTTGGTTTTCAGCAGCAATTGCTTAACACCAGCCTCCTTCAATCGTTTCTCCAACTGTTCGATAATTTTATTATCCTTCTGTTCACGCATTTTCGTTTGCAATAATTGTGTCTGCATATTGCGTATGGTCTCCTGTAGCACTTTGATTTGCTTCTCGCGAAATTCGCTATTGTACTTCAGATCGGTACGCTCTAAACTCATCTCATTACGTATGGCTTCGAGTTGACAACGCAAAGAATCATTTTCCTCCTTCAAAATTAATAAAACAAAAAAAAAATTAACAATAAAAGCAAAAATATAAAATTAAATTACAAATTTTCTTCACAAATTTCCATTTTCAAATATATTATATTAAATTATCAGTTGGGCCCGAATTTTTTATACCCATCACCGTTATCCTCAATAAGAAGAAGAGTAGAAGAACAAAATTCTCATGCTCTATAATATGGAGTGGGCGCAGTTGTTTTTTTTCTATTTTCAAAATAAAAGTTTTTATCGTATAGGCATGTGAACGTTGTAGGCGTGTCCTTTGAAAAGTTTAGATCAATTCCAAATTCTTTTGCAAACTTACATACGTTATGAAAAAAAAAAAAAAAAAAAAAAACAAAATAAGTATATCCCCATTTTACAGTGGTGGGTATAAAAGCAAAGTGAAATAAAATAATTCTTAACGAAAGTTTGCTACAAAACACGATCATGTCAAGCGGGGCAGTGTAAATTTCTTTACGATTTCTTTATATATATGTTCAATATGGGACAGAAGTCTAAAAGCATTTTTTTTTTTTTGTTGTACAATATATATTGATAATTTTTGGATGTTTCGTAATAAACTCAATCGATATTTCAGAATTCATTTAAATCGACGAATGGCTTAACGATCATTTATCAATTTGCGCAGAAAGCTTTCAAAATCACGAACCAAGAGAGATATGTGATAGTAATTTTAAGAATTTTTACAGAAGAAGTATCACATCCTTACATCACAAGAATTTTTGAATCATTTGGGACGAAATTCTCCTTTATTGAACCTATCAAATTCTTGTGTGGTCTTAATGAAATCTTAAGAGATCGGATCGATACGTTAAAAATCAATTCGGCCATCTGAGAATGTAAAGCATTCGTTCTTTAACGAGAAACGTGAAATTTAATAAAATCATTGTAAAAAAAAAAAGTATTAAAAGCAAAATGCAATTTAAAACTCACTCTGAGATGATCGCTTTCATAACGTTTCCGTTTCGAGGCAGGCATTTGACAGTAGTAATCGCGATCTTCATCCGACATTTCCATTTCGTCATCTTCGATTTGTATGCTACGCAACTCCTAGGCGACCAAAAAAAAAAAAAAAGAGTTTCTCATTACATACAAAAGCAGGGCAAGAATTAAAAAAAAAAATTAAAAAAAAAAAAAATGCTAAAAATGCAAAAAATGCTTAATAAATTTCTTTTTTTTTTTCAATAGATTTGGTCTTTTCACTGTATATTCTTCTTCATACAAAAACATTATATATTTTAGTTTGAAATCATAAACAGCCTATTGGAAGTGTGTTCGTAAAATGTTCACTAAATATTCCTACAATAAGGGGAAATCTTTTTTAAATTATTTATAAAGGACGGGGTACTTACCTTTCTTCATATGTTTGTTATAATAAATTTTTATAAAATCATTTTATATAATTTTTGTTGTTGTAGTTCTTGTTCTTTTTCTTGTTTTAATGAATTAAATGATAAACAAACGTTTTATAAAAGAATACCAATTCTGATCGAGAGTTTTAATAAAAAGATATGCTTAGCATGATGTTTACTCCTTAAAGGAAAGCTATTTTTATTACACTTAGGGCTTAAAAATAAGTTTTCAAAAAATCCGAAAGAAGCCGCCTATACTCGATCATTCAGTTTCAAGAATGAGTAAATAGATGAATCTTCTAAGATAAGTAGAGGTATATGTGCGTATAAATCATTAGTGATGGAATAATAATTTCGTTAACACATAGATACCATTGCTAAATAAATCACTGCACAAATGAAAGATTTAATGACAAAATTAAAAATGTTTTAGTACTGACAATTATGACTTAATTTTGACATGACAATAGAATGATTATTTCAAGTGTTCGATCAATTAAATATACAATACACATTTAATGGTTATTCATATCACATATAATATATAGACATTAAAGGTGAAGGTGTTCACAAAAGAAATTTTTAGTGCTAGTCAAAGACGCATAATGAACAAACAAACAGAACCAATATATTAGTATTCGTATTCACACATACATAGATAGGCGCCATCGAAAAATAGTAATACAATATGTTTACTAATCGACCGAATCGAAATCGACTTAAGCAACTTACAAGCATTTTTAATAATTTTGGACTACCTTCAAGTAGTCATCGCTTAATTCTTTCTATATCATTACTACACACATTATAATATAAGAAACTTTTATCTTGTCGGCATAATAAACATTGTATACCCTTGTAAGATGGCGGCTTTAAGGTTAAGGGTTTGAAAACATGCGGGAAGAATGTTAGTCGTATGAAACGAAACGAAAGCAAAACGTTTAAATTACTGATGCACAACAAAAAGCTTTTTTTTTTATTTAGTTGTTGTTGCTGTTATGTTGCTATTTTTTTATAATTTTGTACATACCGTAGCCAGTTTTTTCCATTGGTCGATGTTTTTTCTTTGGGCTTTGGTGAAATGGTCCCAAACCTTCTTGTGACTAGCAGCACTGAACACTTTTTCAATCTGAGTGACTGAATAGGCAATAATTAAGGTATATATGTATATATTTGTAATGCAATGTAAATCAATCAAAAATTAAACAAGGAGTGTATCGTATACATATTACATACGTACATCTCTGCACGTATGTATGTAGAAGGTAGACTAATTCTAGTCGAGACTAATAAAAGAAGGAAAAAACAGTTTTTTGAAAAAGCTTTTTTTCATTTCAGTAGAAATGCGATTTGTTGCTTCTCAATACTTTTGTTTTTTTTTTTTCTAATAAGATTAAAGAATACATATATATAAATATATAAGTATATAAATAAAAATATAAATATATATATATACATATATATATATATATATATATATATATATATAAATATAAAATAAATATATAAATATATATAAATATAACTATATGTATTTACATTTATATATATATATATGATAATGTAAACGAAGTGAATCCCATTTAATCTCTTCTTTAATTTAGTTTACCTACAGCTGTACTCTGATACTCTCATTTAGCTTCAATCCGGCAAGAGTCTGACCATATAACTGTAAACTTGATGTTGACATTCTTTTTTATTTGTTTTTGTTCCACCTTTGCTTACTCTGCATGGTTGATCTTACCAAAACTGCAGCAGGGCGTGCTTTGTTTTTTACAAACCTTCAAATTTTTCTTGATTTTCAAATCAGCATTTATAAGTTCTTACTGTTTACCTTTGCTTTTGCTTTACAGAGTTTTGCTCATTGCGTTTTTATCAAATTTTTATGCTTTTTATAAGATTAGGTATATGGAAAACCGAATAGAAAATGTTCAAATTAAAGATGCTATCAGAAGAGAAAATTTGGGCAAAATCGAGGATTCATATATATATATATATACATAAAAAAAAATAAAATATATATATATATATATAAATATATATATTTATTTATATTTATTTATATTTATATATATATATATATTAACATATATAATTACATATATACATAAATACATATATCTACATACTTATATGTATATATATATATATATATATGTATATATAATTTAGTATTGAGCAAAACTAATTCGGGTATGGGCAAAACATCTAGAATACACAGATTTTCAGTTGTTGTCCACTGCAGAGAAAGTTGATTAAAATTTGTCTCATTCACTTTTAAATCGAATCATTCAACAATAATCTTCTAAAGCGTAATAAGCTCGGCGTAAATTCAAACCGAAATCTCATTCAAGTTTCTCTCATTCTGACACCAACAAACACCAACGTACACACACACATACATACACACACACACACACACACCTATATATATATATATATATATATATATATATATAAAATTTATGAATAGTCGAAAAATTGGTTGTGAAGAAAAACAACAAAATTTAAATACTTACACTGTGCAGACATAGTTAGCATTTGTTTTCGGTAACTTTCGCGTGCTTTTCGTAAATCGTCTTCCAGTTGTTGCTTATCACCAGTTAACCGCCGTACGTGGGCATGAGTACTTTGAATCATTGAATAGAAGACGTTCGCATTACGTTTAGTACAATCACCTCGTTCCAGCCAAACAGTTATTGTTTGTATTGCTTTGATAAATGTTTCGTCACTGCGCAAACTTTCGGCCACCACTGAAGCCTCATGGTCGGAATAATGTGGTATAGGTGGTGGAGAATCTGAGCGTGAACGTTCGTGGGATCTACGTTCCCGATGACGTTGTTCACGCTGCAATTGACGTTGTTTGCACTCGTAGTCATATTGATCATCCCGCGCTTGGGCATAATCGACATGTAAACGACCATAATTTGCCGGTTCGTTAGTACTGCCCAAACGTACTCGATAGCCGCTTAAAAAGATTGCACGATCAATAGATTCTTCTGCGCGAAAACGTATATGACAAAAGTTCTTTTTAGACATCCTTAATGTCGTTATTTCCCCGCAGCTCTCGAATATCTCTCGTAAAATTGCCTCAGTGATATTTTCGGGCAAACCCCCCACAAACACTGTTCGACAACCGGGTGGCCTTTCGCGTATAGTCGGCGGAGGAGCATTGGGATTGGGAGGTAATAGTATGCAACTTTTTGTTTTAATAACCTCTTTGGCAGACGTGGCAGATGCATTGTTTGCATTATCTAAAAGAAATAAAAGGAAACGAACAACTTAATCTATTATTATTGTTCATAACATTTGATATAAAAAGATACACGCACCTGTTGTTAATGGAAGTTTAGCATTATCAATAGCATTAGCAGTTTCCGTTAGAGCATAACCAGCATAGTTTTGTTGCATTTGTTGCATTGCGGCGGCCATAATTGAGGCTGGATCCATTAGCGGACTACTCGATGTACCGCCTGAGGCAGATGTGGTTGTTGTTGCAGTTGCCGTAGGAAAAAACATGAATCCGGTATTCATGGCCATGTTTCCGGCCATCAAACTATTTAAGTATAGATTAGCATTTTGCATATTCACAACCATGTTATCAGTTGACGTTGTAGAGGTAACACCCGATGTTGTTGTTGGTGTTTCGCTTTCTAAATCATTTTCCAAATCCATTGGTACGGGTCCCTTGTTGGCTTTTGCATTATTTAAGGGACTTATGTGTGGAGCCGGCGGAGGATCTGGAGTACGCCTTGAACTTGTTATCATTGTAGCTGAATTTAAAGACTTATTTGATTTATTGTTGGCACTGAATGGTCTTGTGGACGCACTTGCACTTGTCACTGCGGAAGTAAAATGGTTCATGAAATTGCCATGATTTGGCATAACAACACTATTGGCCATTGAACTAAACATCGGTACTGTGATTGCAAAACATATTTATAAAAATTGGAAAACGTAATTTCTATTACACACAAAATTTTAACAGCTGATTAATGCAAAAAGTTTTATACAACTTTATTGCCATCTGCAACGATATGATCTGTTCAAAGAGAGATATTTATTTACTTACACAGATTTTCCAAGGCTTGTTGGCCCAAATTGGCATAATTAAAAGACATAATATTTAGTGGTGTTCATCAACTTTATGCTTAGTTTGATATCAAACTATAATTTGATTCTTATTTTTCTTAAATTAATGTTAACTAAATTTCACTTTTCCCTAGCAACGTAATCTATAAAAAAATTTTATAACTTAAGTAATATTGCCAAATTCCTGCAAAAATATTGTTTTTGTAATGGGATCTTTCGAGTGTATACTTAAAGTTGCCAGACACTCTTGCGACTTTTGACGAACAAGTATCAAAGCAAGTGAAAATATAAACAATGTTGTTGAATATCTTGAAGTGCTTAGTACTTTTTCCCGTGGAAATTAGTACTTAGTACATATCTTGTCGAAATTAGATAAACACACAACTAATCTATAAACAATAAATGTGGAATAGTGGAACGGATCAGAACGATTGGAGCACCTGAAGTTATCAAACGTCGGTGTTCTCACTCTTACAATAAAACGAAAACGAAACACTCGAAGAAATGGGAAATGAAAGCAATAAAAATAAAATTTGCTCACTACGCTAACATCGTACAAAATTTCGTTAATAAACAATAAAATTCAAAAACAAGCTTAAAGTTAAGTTGGACGGTTTGGGATAATTTAATGAAGGAAATAATGCCAATAATTTGGGTGAAAAAAGTTGAAATGAAATGGTTGCGGTGGTAGCAAGTATCTGCATTATTTCGGTGGCAACTGCGAGTTTTCTTTAAACGGTAGCTTTTTGAGATGTTTCTACTACTCAAAAACTTTTTCTTCTCTTTTTGAGAAAATCAACTGCCAAAAATTTGTTGTAATGTGTGAAACAACTGAAAACACTCAAAAATCGAAACTTCGAAATCTCAATGATGTATACGTTTCAGTTCCCGTTCTTTGCAGAGGCGCCAAATCACGAAAATGACGATACGAAGCTGAACTTTAACATAGACATTCCTTGATTGGTGGGAAAGACAAGGTTAGAAAATCCGTATGATCTGTTAACACATAAAAATGAAAAACAGGAACATTTTCTCACACTTAGTCTATAACTTTCCATACATTTCCGAAGCCACGTTCAACCCAAAAATTCAACATGTGCACATAAAAGAACCAATTGATAATGGACGAGCTTGCTTACGCACTCTTGCAATTTATAAAAATGAATGACCATAATAATCAATGAATATGTTTGTTATATCTCAAGAATTTATTCAGACAGTTTATTTATTCAAATACTTCATTGAATACTTAGTTTTAAAAAATAGAGAACAATATATACAACTTCCAAGGTTTTTATACCGTCAATAGCTTTCGGTTATAGAACATTCTTGGAAAATTTCTAGAAATTAACGAAAAATATCGCTTAATTCACACCTTGAGTTAACAATCCAATGTTTTACAATATTATCTGTAAATTTTTTACCACGGAAACCCTAGTGCAGAAATTGAAATTTTGATTATCGAATAAAAAGAAAAAAATAATGAGTCATTTGCTTTGAAATTTTCAGAAAGAACTATTCGTCATTTGTACTGATAGGAGTAATAAATTTAATTAAAGTATAAGCAAGTAATATCTGGAATTTGTTATTGAAACTGTAGAAGAAATGTCCGTTAATACTGCTCATGCCAGCAATGGCGTGCTAATTCATGTTGGCGAATAGTAAGTGTTGAAGAAATATAGTTGTGAAATTCTTGCATAGAGTGCGATATGTTAATTTGATGAATTTTTTGGCTTTCCAGTATTTTATTGCATAGCGACAATGTTTACATGGATTTCTCTGGACAGGATAATCCGGTGTTTAAGGGTTCTAAGCAAGGACGTATCTATTTGACTTCGCATCGTATGATTTTCAATAATAAGAAAGTAGGGGATCATTTGCAGTCGTTTAGCGCTCCGTTTATCGCTATGAAAGATGTAAATCGCGCAGACGTTTCCCTCAAGCAACTTGGATTCACTCCTCTGTTTTTTTTTTTTTTAGGTTGAACTTGAGCAACCGGTTTTTGGAGCCAATTATATTAAAGGCAAAGTACGCGCTCAACCGAATGGTAACTTTGTGGGGGAAGTAAAATTTAAATTGCACTTTAGGGCGGGCGGTGCTATTGAATACGGAATGGCGTTATTAAGAGCAGCCAAGACAGCTCAAAGCAATTTGCGTAATGATGGTTATAATGATGATCCCCCCCCCGTATACACCGTCTGGTAATTGGTATGAGGCGCCTCCACCAGCTTATCAGCCGCCTCCTGGTTATTATGGCTGGTTGCCGCAACATGAGGCCTTCAGTGGACCGGCCCCTAATACTGTTTTTATGACCGATAATCCACCGCCTTATCCTGGCATAGGCGCACGTAAGTTTTATCTATAATATCTGTATCCATTCAATCTATTTTGATTGCGTGTTGTCTAACTCGGCTTCTGTTTATCGAAATCGCACGAAACTGGTTATTGCACACATCTATTTTTCTTTGTCTTCAAAATACTCTAGCCGTCCCAACTTATACTGCTCCATCGCAACCAACCTTTGTACCACCAATGCATCCTTACAATCCAACCCAACCTTTGGCTTACAGCTCGCCACCTCCTAGTGAAGGTAGTGGGCCATGGAACGGTTTTCCAATGCCAGCTATGCAACAACAGCAGCAGTCTCAAAATTCGGTGCCATTTCAGGCTCAACAACAACAAGAAGAGATGCCGGAATGGAACGGGTTTTCATTGCCGCCAAATGAGGAAGGTGCCTATCGTCCAACACATGCACGTGAGCAACAATCTTCCGTTGCGCATGGTTCCACAGGTTGTGGAGGTGGGTATCAACAAGTAGCTATGGGCTCACCATATAATATGAATCAGCTAGCTACTACTGGTTGCCCACCATATCCTTCCAATCAGTCTGATATGGTTCCTCCATATCCACCATATCCTCCTTATCCACAACAAAATGCACCACCAGCCTATGCTATGGGGTTCTTTGGTCCGCCACACCGTAAGTCTTGATAATTACCTTTTCGTTTCTCGTTTGGATTTGTAGTAAATAATTGCATATCTTTCTTAAATTACGTTTCCACTAAAGTCATCTTTATTAACGCTGGAAGACATCGTTTCTATAACCCTTTTCAAAAAAGCATTTTCATTATAATATGTTATCGAGTAACCTTGCAAAACTAATTAATTCCAAAAACATACTAGAAAGGTACAACGTACATGTAAAAACAAAAACAAGGCTAACAAGAGTTTTAAAATTTAATGGCATAAGAAATTAGCAAGGAGCGGATCATTTGATATGCTCGAGCAAAATTACATCAAAACTGTAAATCCATCTGATATATTCTAGATATCATTTTTTTTTTCTCGGTCTTAAGACGGTTTTTGCTAAAGTAGAAAAGTCGAAGGATTTTTCGGAAACCTACATTTTGTCGGTCGATAGGTAAAACGCATTAAGTACATAATAATTTGTGAGCACTTAATGGATTTTATTTGTCAGCCGGCGATTTATAAAATGGATCATTTTTACTTCAAGCACTTTTTTCAGTTCAAATTAAGATGAGAAACAATTTTTTTCAAAACATACCAACATACTTAAGTATCTAGACATATTTAAAAATATATGAGTGCGAATTGACTAAGTTGCTGCCACTCACACTTATCGCGACTTATTTTGGTGGAATTGAGTAAAGAATATTTGCTAAGCGAAATATGGCTTTTATCGGCTATTAGATTTCGTTAATCATTTCTCAGATTTTTCGTACGCCTATCGCAGTCAAACATAATATTTAACTTCTCTTCGCATTGTGTAACATGAATGGTTTTTTCAGCATCAAATTTACCATTTTTCTGTTTCTAAAATTTGTGTGATTTTCAAAATACTAAAATCTTTTTAAATATGTTTCTGCCTTTTTTTATTCTCTCCATTTGCAGACAATTGAGGAAAAGCAGAGAGAAACGTTTTTAAACAACTTTTAATAAATTGCTTTTATGTTAAAAAGGTATTTCTCAAAAACCCTGCTCGCTTGAGATATCGTTTAACAACAAAAGCCGAGTTTCACAAGCAAACAATTCTTTTGCTCTTTCTTATTATTTTATAGTTTCCAATTTTGACTTTCGTTTGTTTTTCTCTTTCTTTTAATTTGAACAATTTCAGGTAGCACTGTTTATTATCATTACCCAATGCGTCAAACCATCTTTATACCCATACCTGTTATATTTTTATAAAATACGTAAATCGAAAAAGCAAGATTAAGAAAATTCAAAATACAAGTGTTATTTCGATGAAACAATTCTAAATTCAATCCAAGATATTGTTATTAAATAATAAACGTAAGCTTTTGAGTTATCTTGCTTCATTGCTTCGAATTAAAATGAAAATATCTTTTCTACTTGAATCGATCGATATTGTTACCTATATCAAAATTTGTATTTACAGATACTAAAGAAGCTGAAGCTTTGGCTGCTGCTTATAATACCACTGAAAATCAACGCTTCTATAGGCCTCATAGAAATGATACTTTACCGCCAGCTTACGAAGTACGCTAACTTTCCTTATTTTTAATTAATAATATAACATTTGTATTCTTCTTTGCAGGATTTATCACGCAGCTACGCTGACAGCAAGCGAAAGAATGAATAAATGAAGAAAAATATATACTGTGGAATACGCTAATAACCAAATCTTCTAAATATTAATATTAATGTATTATATATTTTTTGTTCAAAAATAATTTACTAAAATAACTGCATTAAATATTTATGATTTATTATACGAATAATTTCTTTGTAGCTCTTCAGTAAATGAAGAGTATCGCTATGAATACATATTTAAAAAATACATAGCACAGCGTATCACATATATAAAAAAATGTATGAATGGGTCACAACGATTTACATTGCATTGGTTATTCTACATACCAATTAATTATTATTACTATTCACGCTTATATAAACTTTACTCTTTATATATATAGATATGTATATTCCCTTTATCACAATTGTTTTTGTTTAATAAAGATTATTAAAACTGTTCTATCACAATTTTCAAAAGATCAAAAATTCTTCTTTTTATATTATTAAACATTTTACATAAACAAATGACATTGTGCAACATTTCAGCGGAAAAAAGAGGCCTGACATGAAGAACGATCCGATGAAAAACAGTTTAAATGAAATTTATATTTACCATAAAGTCAGCAAACTTGCGTAAGTGATAAATGTGTTGGCAAATTGTAAATAGCATTTGGGGTTGATAAAGAGCGAGACCTTCTTTAGGATAAACGCATATTTGCCCAGAGATGCTACCGGATGCAATCAAGTTCAATGTGCATAAAAAGTAGGCATGTAGGTATAGAGAAGCTACATTTTGTCCTTAGACACTTCTTTGCAAGTCCTTCGTAGCGCACGCGGTGAAGGGGGAAGCCGTTCAGATCATTAAAACATATTTCGCTTAAAGACTTATCGTATTTCGTCACAAAAGAGTTTGGTTAAGTAAATAGCTAAGTAAGCAAGTTATCGCTTCATATAACTTATCTATTGTATATTAAGCAAGCGCCAGTAATTTGTTAACAACATCCTGTTTTAGCAATTTTCCTATTTTAATTTCATCTTATACGTATGCTTGAGATCAATCCGTTTAGGTACTCTGTTCGTTGGATATATCTCTCTCATGAATTTGTACTGTTCCAGTTTACATTGCCTTTCGATTAAACGATTAGGCGATTAAGTTTAATCGCCATAACATACTTTTTTATTTGTTAACTAAGCATTGATATGTTACTTATATATATTAATAATTGTAAATTTAATTGCTGAGTGAATTAATTGATTAAGTGAACTTGTATTTATTTGTAACGTATAACAATATAAAATGGGAAACGATAACAACAACAACAACATCAACATGATAACATATTATTTTTAAATGTTTTGTGTAATTCCAAGGATGACGAACAAACGGGGACTCAATACTAAGCAATTATTAATCGTTTCAGCTTAGAAATGGGAAACAGGACATATATCAAAACAGATAAATTGACGAAAAACGAGTTATGATGATTACACTGCAGCTCGACGTTCGTTATGGCAATAATTCTTGAAGCTTTTTTCCAAAAGCGGAATCTGCGTAAAAGATTGTTGCTGCCTTTGCTTATTTGATGTGTCATCCAAAGTATGGTTGGGATTATCGCATCGGATGCAAGACCGAAATAGACGCATCATACGAGAGTGTAACTTCCGTTGGTTACGTGGTGTATTACGTCGTTTACCTGCACCATCATTTACTACAATCGATAATTTGCTTTCATTTGTGGCGTTGGTACTATCAGCGTTATCATTGCCATTTCCCTCGCAATTAAGGTACTGAAAGCAATTAGTATGATACATGAGTTGCTTTTGGTCGGTTTGGCGTTGTTGCATGGCCGCTACATTCCCCGAAGTTGTGGTTAGCTCTAAATGTGAACTAGTATTGGACGAATCAATGAAATGATTTGGACCCTTGTTGCCTGCAAAAGGGAGCTCTAAGCGTTTACGCGTGTATAAATCAGGTAAAGACTGCCGTAAAACATCTAATAAACAAAATAAAGGAACATATTTTTCTTTTTGTTTTTTAAACATATGCCCGAGATTTTGTTCTGTTCATTTTAAAAAATAACGTTTTAAACTTCTGACAAAAAAATTTTCCTTTTAAAACAGTTATTCCTAGCTTGCCCTAGCTTTCTTTTCATTCGAAAAAGTGGTTCCGAAAACGATTTCGAAATCAAGGGCAAAGGGAATTATTGGAAAAAAAAAAAAAAAGTAAGAATATTATATTCAGCGGGGGCCGAATCTCGCATACCCATCACTATGTTTTTCGTAATCTATTCGGAAAGTTCTTTCATTTGATACCCATATCGTTGGTATTATTAAGAAAAAACTAATCACGGTATGGACCATATCGTTTTAGAATTAACCCATTCTTAGGCAGATAATATATCTTCATTTAAGGAGCGTACAAAATACATTTAAACATTCGATTTTGTTTGCCTTACGATAAATAAGTGTAAAAGCGAAAAAGACAGAATTTAATCACTTGCAACTTTGTGTGGGCATGACGGATTTGTTTCATTTTTACATGTAAACTGGAAAATTTCAGGGTTCCAACTTTAACAATTGCCGAGCAACAAGAAAAAAAAAACAAAAATTATTGTGAAATCAAACTGAGTTGCGTTCAGTTTACGCTCGATTGCGCGCTTTTGCTCTGACCGATTTGGCGCATTTTCAATGCCAACCAATCTGCGTGCAGACACTTCCAATGTTTCTACCAAATTTGAAGTCGATAGCTTCGGTTTTGCGACGAGGAGAGTGCCAGCAACACACATCACACAGACGGATAGACAGAGTTTCACACTGATCGAGAATATACTTTATAGGGTCTTTGAAGCTTCCTTTTGGGTATTTTACATATATTTTGGAAAAAAATAAAATGAATATTATTCCATCTTAGAGTGGTGGGTAGGAAAAAAATTGTTTTATAGGGTAGTTAAGTCGAATAAGGGTCAATATTATTTATAAACTTACTCATGTTTGTGTTAAGGTCATGATCATGTTCCTCTCGTTCAGTTGCGCTACTAAAATTTAACGATATCGGTTGGATGGTAGTTACAATTTTAGGCATTTTTACGACTAACGGTGCTCGGACACCTAAACTTTCATAATCGAAGTTATTGTTATTAGAATCGGGAGTTGTAGACGTGTTTAATATATCCTTGGTTAGTCGTAAGCGTAATGCAGTTGATGGGCTTAAATGTAGATCAGTTTGAGTGGCTTTTGTGAACTTGCCCGACCGATATTGCCAGGATTGCCTTTTTTCCGTTCCCAATAAGCAACCATACGAGTCGGAAAGAGTTTGTTGCTTTTGTAGTTTTTTGATTTGCTGCAGTTTATCTTTGCATTGGGTCAATTCGATGCGCATGGTATCTATATTCTTTTTGAGTTGCCAGTTTTCATTATTTTTCTCCTCCAGTTTGCTTTGCAAATAATCGTTACGCTCCTTATCGCTAAGCAACTGGGCGTAAGTGTCTTTGCCGACATGTATCAAAGATTCGGAAGCCGATTCGCTCTTCTGATCTATTCTGTTATTTGCATCCTCGCCATTGTGACGTAGAAATGCAATTTTCTCGCTTGTATTGATTATATTTAGATTTTGCTCTCTGCTCTCACCTAAAGTTTCGGGTAAAGAACGATACCTAAGAGATTGTTGAGAGTTGCGACGTTTCTCATCTTGGACTCTCATATGTGCTATGTACTGAGCGACTTTGCTTTCCACATGTTTAAAACGTCTTTTAGTATTTTCCGAGTGTATGTCCTGATAGGAGAAGGCCTTAGATGGGGTGTTGCGAGAATATGCCAGCCGTTTGTTAGCGCTTTCTGAAAAGGCGACAACATTTTTTTAATCGTTTAATCGAACGGTTTTAGGACATCTGTTACCTACTACATCCGTTGGCTCACTTGCGTTTGTTTGACCGCTTATTTCAGAAGAGGAGCAAGCATTTATTGATTTAGTTGATTCATATTTATCATTGATCGGCAGCGATGTACTTTGATTGACATTATCAACGGCACTAGTATCCAAATCAAAATCAGGCGGAGCACTTTCGTCCTGAATACTCATTCTTCTCCTCAATCGTAATTTATTACACGAAATAAATTATTTGACATTAAAATTATGTACAAAAAAAAAAAAAATATATAAAACAAATAACGAAGAAATATACATATATTATAACAATAATTATAGTAAGGGATAACGGAAGCGATTGAAAACCGTTACTTTCGGCACTCTTATTTATTGTAGCGTAGTGTAGACTGTGACATATACGTACAGCTTTTTCGCTCACTAATAGAGCTTAGAGCGTTAAACACGATCTCTCAACACTACTTTGCTTACTTTTGAACAGCAAAACTACAGCAACCTGATAACAAAAATGTAATGAAATTATCGGAATGGAGTTACTATTTATCATGTATAGGTAAATGTAAGTATAGTTAGGGTTTATAATATATTAGGTCATGTGGAAAAATTCCCCGCGGTATGATGTTGATGCCTACACCTGATTGTCTCAAGCGAATGTGTGCTTAAAAGATGACATTTCAGCTTCCATTTTATGTCCAGATAGGTTTCTAATTCTTTGTTCGTGTAAAAGATTATATTGATTTGAGAGCGAGTGAAATATCTGAAGCAATATGCGAGGTGACGTTTTTTTACGATATAAAGAGGGTAAAAACGCTACAAAAAAACGAAAAAAAAAAAAAAATTGCGAAATGGACGATGAGAAGGCTGTGAGTGAACAAAGGGTCCAGGTAGGTGATGAAGTGGTTTTCTCGATTCCGTTCCGGAAACGTAGATATCAAAGTGGCACCCATCAGTCATTGAAAAAGTCGATGAAATTTTGCAATTGGTGGAGGAAGACTGGCACACTTGTTGCCAGGAGCAGAGTAGCGGAGGCACTAAACGTCAAACACATAACAGTTTGAAATCATTTGAAAAGGCTACAAGGAGAAGTTCGAAACCGTGGACACTTTTGTAATATGATTTAATATATAATGAACGAGTTTGTCTCATTTAACCACCAAAACGAGAAACAGTCGTTTCGACAAAGCAGAAATTCCGTAAGACTTCTACATAGAAATATGAATATTATATTATTTGTTAACTTGATGTGAAAATTCGATGAGCGCTGCATAGTGTAGTGTACGTCAATTTAATCCAATTTATACTCATTCCTCGTCTTTCGCTTGTCGTGCTGCTTATGCAGTAAAAGCGAATATGACTATTTATTTGTTTCAGTGTTTCATTAAAATTTGGTAAAATGTAAATGGAGCGAATATGCTCAGAGAGTATGACTATGATTATGAGAAAAAAATTACCTACGTCATTCATATATGAGAAAATAACAAATCGAAACGGAATGTATATCAAAGAGCATTATTATGTAACTGATTTCTGCGTGTACATAATTTTAGGCTGTATTAAGAGCAGCGTTACACGGATTTGACAAATAAACGTCAAACGAGTTTTATGACTTTTTAACCTCGTCCTTTGGCGACGGGTGTATTCATTTGCTCAAGAAGTTTGTAACGCCCGGAAGGAAGCATAAGAGACCCGCAAACTATATATATATTCTTGATCAACAGGATTAAATTTTAAATCGATTTAAGCATGTCCGTCTATTCGTCTGTGTAATGCCTGCTATAAACATTCTCCTCGCCCTAAATACGAAGCTATCGACTTAAAATTTGCCAGAAATATTGGAAGTTCTTGCACGCGAATTGATTTTGCAAATGGACCGAAATCGGTCGGAGGGCACGCCTACAGCGCAACTTAAGCTGAGAACACCTTTGTTTTTTCAAACAAAATGAAAAATTGCTTTTTTGGCTCATTGTTAGTTTAGGCCAATTCCAAACTCTTTTCCAAATTTTTAGGCGATATTTTTATTTGCGCTAACGAGAAAATGTTCACCACAAAATACTGCAAAGTTGCGCGAATAGACAGATGGACAGACGCATATGCTTAAATCACCTAAGAATTTGATGCTTATCAAGAACATATATACTCTGCGGTGTCTCTAATGCTTCCTTTTTGGGCGTTCCAAGTGTTTTGACACAATGAATGTATCCCTCATTCTTCGGTGATGGGTATAAAAATACATATAAATATTGTTTTTGTTAAGTAGGATTTTTTTTATTTTTCATTTTTTCAAACATACAAGAAGGATTAGGAACAAGAGTTGTTCAAGTAACGTAAATGCTGACTCGAGTATTTATTCGTCAACTACAGGTGCTTCACAGTGGCCACTCTGCGATTAACTACCATACCATATATCTCTAAAGCTTAAAATTTGAACAGTTCAAAATTAATGTATTCGAATTAGTTCTAGTGTTAAAAAGAATGGATGGAGGAAATGCAAGAATGGACACTTGCAATACTCTTATTTGAATTTGTGGAAAATAAGCAAAAGTATAGATGTATGTAAAAATATTATAAACCTTTTGTTGAAATTCATTGTATTACGACCTGTACGAACTTGGTTGAAAATTCATCTCAAGATCTTGCTATGGTATATTTGAAAGGATTTAGAATGTTATGAAAATGAAAAGAATTTGTTGTTTCTTAGTACTCGGGTAGAAACTTGGGTGTGTACTTAGTGAGAACCAATCAATTTACAATGAAACTTCTTTCAATATTATACTACCTATCCTGAATGGAGCCCAGTAGGCGAGGGACCTGGGCTTACAACTCAATAGTCGTGGGTTTATATTTCAAGTACAGTAGAATTTTCAATAAAGCCGATAGCCTCAGATGCTAGTGCTTTAAGATTTTATCAAAACATTTTCAACGCCCAGAGGAGCTTTAGAGACCCCATAAAGTTCTTGATGAGCATAATACTTTGAATCATGCGCAAAATGTCTGGAACGCAAAATTGAAGCTAATGTGTTCAAATTTCTTCTAAAACATTGAAAGTTGTCGCTGGCAAATTGATATTGGAAATGAACGAAATTAGCTAAAGGACACGCTTCTAGAATATTCTAAACTGAGAACAACTCTGCATCTGCAAGATCTTTTTGTCCATTACCGGTATCCTATGTAACGACAAAACCTCCGCGTATATTCTATAGACGATTTTATAGTACCTGAACAAAAATAGAAAAAGTTGTTTATATATCAGGACTTGTTCTTTTTTTTTCTTTTTCATTTCATTACATTCGGGTGCAATTTTTAGTACCGCACATGTAACGCATATGTAACGAGCATAACTTTGCCGACAAGCGAATACATCGCTTGTTAAAAAGTGTTTTTTAATCTAGAATGACAAACAAGTTACTTTTTTGTTTTTTCACTTGTATGGGTGCAATGCCGATTTAAATTTTTTATAATTGTCCTGATAGTCGAGCCACGGCAAGCAAGGATACAGGTATACTCTCCGTATAATTTTCTCAAGTTTTTCTTGTTGATGGTTCGAAGCTATTGATCGATTCTGATTATTTCTGAATTTTACCGAAGAAGATTCAAATGTCGTAGTCTTTCAGACCAAGTCTACTTCTGTAGACAGGCTAAGCCGTCATTTCAGCAAAGACAAGGTCAGCAAGCAAACATGGCTATATCGATTCCCCTTTGCACGGTGATTAAATAAACGTTAGGATGCCTTCGATTCAGTACAAATCTTTCGCATTGAATAACAACAACAACGAATAAAGAAATTTTTTCAAAACTCACGAGATTGAAATAAAAAAATGAAAGAGACAAAAATATATATAAAGAGAGAGAGAAAGGGAGAGAGAGAGAGACAGAGAGAGAGAGAGAAAGAAAGCAGAAAGAGCCTGCAATTGAGAGCACGATTTTGTGAAAGACTTTAAGGAAAATCAATTCTTTTAATTTTCTTTCCTCCGGAAAACATGCGCACTTTACAAAAATAGATTTTTGCTACGAACTGATTAGAAAAAAGGTGAATATTGTATTAAGCAAAAGAACGGATAAGTTAAGCGAAAATTTTCATAAATTTTATAAGAGGCATTCATTTGAAATGTAAAAATTAAGTGAACAATTAATTATTAATGAAAACGATAATGAAAATTATTTGTAATTAATAACGAAATTTGTGTCTTCGCGTATTTTTACTTTATTCGAAAAATTTGAATGATAATGAAAAGTGTAAGTGATTGCATTTCTAATTCTTCTTTTTTTCCTTTTTCTTTTTTTTTTTTTTCTATGCTTCCGAATAAAAGTTGAATATGAATAAATTGTGAAAGTGTTATTTGCAAAACATAGAAACGCCTCTTACAACGCCAGCAGAAAGAGCAAAATGCCCAAGAGGCAATCTTTTAAGATTTAAGCATTAACAATATAAAGTGTAAGAAATTCGAATAACATAAACATAAGCGAAAAATTTATTGATTTTTGTATTAAGAATTGAATTTAAAATGCAAAAAATTTGAAAAATAAGAAAAATCAATAAATAATTTGTCAAAAAGAAGAACCGATTTAATTACAAATTTACATAATTTGATATTGTGTTTAAACACAGCCACAGGCAGAAAGCCTATCAGATACAGAGACCTATTGGTCTTCACCTATGTAGCGATAAAAGAAATACAAAAAAAAAAAAAAAAAAACACAAGACAAAAAAAAACAAAAGCAACAGCAAACGAATGAATACGTATGTATTAAGGAAACAAAAAAACAGCGCCACGTCGTCTATAGTTGCGTTTCAATATAATAATAAGTCAATAAAAGACTATCAGGAATCTCCTTGTTTGCATACGGTGTTATTAGCACAAGTAGGAAAGCGTATAATGCATATGCACCTACACCCACTCATATATATATATAAATTGCTTATAACGATAGTATATTTCTCGTGCAATATATATACATTTATATAAACATACACAAATCAGAGAGAGAAGAAAAACGAAAACCGGTTATTATTAATTTGAGAAAGGAAATCTATTAGAAAATAAACAAACCAACTGAAACCAAAAATAATAATAACATTACTACTGATAACAAATTACAATATATATATATATATATATATATAACAATATATATATCAATATATATATATATATATATATGTATATATGTATATATAATGGACTCTACTCAAGCAACCAACTATGAGCCGCTTGAAGGTCGAAGTTCATCGGGTATACGTCATGAACCAATGGACAGTCCGGAAAGTGATGTTCGTGCACCTAAAGATCAAAAGCATTTAGTATATATCGCTTTGTTGGCAGCTGGTATTGGATTTGTTTTGCCCTATAATAGGTGAGCAGAGTAAGCAAAGCTTATATATATATATATATATATATATATATATGAATATATACATGCGGCTATATATTTACGTGCATTATGTTTATTAATATGTGCCTACGTTTGCGTGTGCATGTGAGAATTGATTAGGATAAATAGATCGGCTAACATTTTGGTGTAACGTCTGGTGTTGTTTATGACGAGAACGTAATTAAGTTCATTGATTATTTAAATGTATGCCGTAGCCGAGTACGTTTAACCCTTTTTTATGCTCTACACCACTTGTGAAAGAGGGTATATTAAGTTTGTTCGCACGTATGTAACATCCGCAACGTCTTAAGATAGATCCACCTTTTATTATACCGATTTAGACAGAAAATAATTTTAAGTCTCTCCGTCCGTCTGCCCATGTATACTTTTGTTCAACCTACACTTGACAATTTTTAAGATGTTTCGACAAAATTTGGTACTCTGACGTGCTGTGAGTCAAGGACAAACGTTATTAAAAATTGTTTGAATCGGTCCACTTTTTCGATCACACATCATAAAATTGCAATTTAAGAAATTTTTCGAAAAATTTAGTTCGGCCGGGGACATTTTTTGAACCCCTATAATAAGAATAAATTGACAAAAACATCAATCGTATCGAAATTGGATTACGTAAGTCTATTTTTTGGATACCATTGTGTAGAAGGATTCTTAAGAAATATAAACCCTTATTTGTCAAGAAAGCGTAATTGTTAACATATTATGATGAAAATTTGTTTATTGCAGTAATTTGATCAAATTTGACCCACATGGATCTATTTTTTGGACAACAGTCCATGTAAGATTTCTCATGAAAAGTAAGCCTTTCAGCTCCGTAGTGGCAGCAATTTAGCATAAAAATGAACGCTAGGAATTTGGATTAAAGAGATATATTTTATAGATCCTAACCCATGCAGGGGTCCTTATGTATAGGGAAAGTCTATTTTCGTGTTTTTTATGATGGGGACTGAAAAATACAGTTTTTAGGTAGCCAGTTAAGTTTGCTAAATTTGTATCACGCCATATGTTGTTTTGGTAATCTTTCATTATGCTTTCATCAAAAGTACGCCTCCGTATTAAAATAATGTGTAATTTTTGGTGCACTCCTATCGAAGCGAATGACGAGAAACTATATTTAACCGTACCGTTGTGCGGCGTTGCCCGACTATAACGTTCTTATTTGTTTTTCAATTATCTATCTATTAATTATTGTCACCTTTCATAAGTGCTATAATATCGAAATTTATCAGGTTTGACAAGGGGTCAGTGTTATCGATATTGAAAAAAAAAAAAGGCGCCATGAATTTTTTCCTTATGTAATAAACTACGTAAACTATGTATGGTTAGCATTTTTGACTTAATCCAATCCGATTGTGTAAGGTATCTATTTTGCCGCATATCACGAAGGTCTTTTAGAGTTGCGTTAGTAGAGCTTCACGTTAAAGTATATATCGTCAATTCATAAATAATGAGTGTAAAAAATTTAGATTTGCATGATAGCTCTCTGGAATAAGGACTAATTATTGGCTGTTAATTCTTTAAGTCTTTCTCTGTTATACCGTTTTTCCGTTTCATCGGGTCATATCTGATAATTTCTCTAATATCGAATATATCTGACTTGGCTGACTTGGTTGATTGCAAGAAAAGCATTTGAAATTGATTTCAGTCACTCCTTTAACAAATACTTACTTTAATTACCACGCTTCCGGTTTTCAGTTTTATAATTGCTGCTGACTATTGGCAGTCACGTTTCCCAGGACGTTCGGTGGCCTTGGACATGTCGATGACGTATATTTTGGTGGCATTTGCGACAGTGCTATTGAATAACGTTTTTTTATCGTTGGCACCGTTTCGAGTGCGTGTTATGTTCGGATATATTGTATCGTTTACAACATTAATCTTTGTGGCGGTTTGCGAGGTGGCCTGGCATATGTTTACTAGCAATACAGCGTATTCAGTAAATTTGGCAGCTGTATCATTGGTGGCAGTAGGATGCACTGGTAATTTATTAATATTATTATGTCAACAAAAGGTCAGTTCTTATTTTTCTCTTATATTTAGTGCAACAATCGAGCTTCTATGGATTTGCGAGTATGCTACCCAAGCAATATACGCAAGCTGTTATGGCGGGTGAAAGTGTGGCTGGATTTTTGGTGTCCTCGAATCGTGTGGCCACGAAACTCTTGATACAGAGTGATCGATGGTCGACGGTCATATTTTTCTTAACCTCCACTTTTTATATCCTCTTAAGTTATATATTGCACTTGGCTACTCTGAATTCGCCTTTTGTGCGGTATCACATGAAGGCGTGCGCTAAGATAGTCTTGCGACCTGATGAAGATCGCTTAGTAAGTAGAAGTTTTCATTGTTTTTATTCGTGTAATTTCAAGTTTTTTTCATTAACTTTCCAGAATGAATTGGAAGGTAGTACACCTACCGCTAAATATGGGGTCTTATCGTTGGAGCCCACCAGTCCAACCGATGCGAAGCCGACGAAAGTGAACAACACAACCAACACTAACACGGCATTAAGTTTTAGCAATCCGGTCTATGAGCTTTCTAATCCGTCAGCTGGCGAGAGCGTAATCGAAGGTCTTAATAATCTTCCGGATATACCAAGCACTCCTCAAGAGCCCACTACTCCCACAACGGTAGTGTTTAAAGTGGAACATGTCCTAACCCCGGGAACTTGTACACCAGGCAAACTTAGCGATTTGAAAAATGGATTTGCCTCACGTTGGCAAGTGGCCCAATCAATTTACCCATACATGGTGTGTATTGCCTTAGCTTATTGTGTAACCTTATCACTGTATCCGGGCATCGAATCCGAGATTATATCTTGCAGTTTGGGTAATTGGCTGCCGGTCTTATTAATGTTTACATTTAATACTGCGGATGTTATTGGAAAGATATTGGCTGGTTTACCATACCCTTGGTCTCGTAGGCAATTAATTTTGATGTCAGGTCTCCGGATTGTTTTGGTTCCTTTGCTTTTATTATGTTGTGCTCCTCGCCATCAGCCAGTAATCTCGGGAGAAACGTCAGCCTTCATATTTACAATTGCATTGGGGGTAAGTAATGGTTTGGCTGGCAGTCTACCTATGATGTTGGCTCCTGCTAAAGTGCCAGGCACTCTTAAGGAAGTTACAGGTAACATGATGACGCTCTCCTATAATGTCGGCTTAACTGCCGGTTCCTTGATCGGTTATGTATTTGAATCAATGCTGGGTGCTCAACTTAACAATCCATGCCCCAAGTATCCATACATAATTGGTCCAACAATTGTACATCAACAAATAATTACTAGTACGGTAACACCGACCATAAGTTCTAATGTCACCTCTACGTTGGCAACAACGCTGATGACAAGTACCACCAGCTATTTACCAACGACTACAGAAGGTACTAGCACATTTTCGTTAGCACCGTTAACTAATTTAGTAACAGCAACAACCACGGCCGCAGCAATAATAACTATAACTCCAAGTCCTCCATCTGCTAATGTAACTTCAACAGCGGCCACAGCGGCGGCTGTTTCGACTGTGGCGGCCACAGTATCAACTCTTCCAGACATGGTTAGTACAGTTGTTTCAAATATTTTGACAGCTGTCACTACACTCAGTGAAATGAGTGCGGAATTAATAAGCGGCAGTGTTAGTAGTACGCCAGATCCTCAAAATTCTATGGAACTGATGGAACAAGTTTAGATTTTTAAAATTAGAGTAAGCAAAGCGTACTGAGAGAACAAATAATGAGCAAGAAAGCAGTAAATGTTAGTTGAATTTTCTAAAAGAGTGCCAGATTGATCAACTAATATTATATAAGTGACTTGTGTGTGCCATCACATAAAGGATAATATAAACGTACGAACGCTATAATACAAACGGTAATTTAAGTAAAGACTGATTTAGTGGACGTACGTCAAAAATTTTTGTTAAGCTAAGGAACATTTTTTATTACGATCGTCTAAAATGAACTAGGAATAGGAATATGAGTAGGAGTAGGAGTAGGAGTATTTGAGCTAAGAGTCATTAAATTTGTTACGTTGACTAATGGAATAGAGAAATTATAAAAATGTTCTTATATTTTTTTAAAGTTCAATATCCAAAATCAAAAACCGATAAAAAAAAAAAAATGAAGAAGAAAAGGAAACAGAAATGACAATGAGAACGAGTTAAATTGCATGTGTAAATGAAACGTTCACTTATATCATGGACAAGTGGGATTTTTCGAAAAGACTTATTCTTTCACTGCATTAAACTGCTTGAATTTCTCTCAGTATCTTTTATTTAGAACGGAAAAAAGGAGTTTTTCTTTTGTTTTTGTATCGTATTTTAGTATTAAAGTATAAGTCTGATATGAGGTCACTCTTTTTAATTATGTACATATTATATAAGTTCGAAAGAGTTTGGTAAGAGTACTTTGCACATTCTTATTATAGCGTTTGCGGACAGATGATCTATTTACTTAATGTGTACAAAATTTTTAATATACTTTACAAAGTAAACAATTATCTCATTTGCTTATTTATATTTGTCGATTATTTTGCTAATCGACTATTTTTGCCTCTCTCTCATCCTCTCTCTGTATCTCTCTCTCTCTCTCTCTCTCTCTCTCTCTCGCTCTGTCTCTCTCTTTTTCTCTCTAGTTAAGTTGAGGAGCTGGTCCTTAAAAGTTTTTTTTTTAAATTTTTAAGAAATTGCTCAAATTGTCTAAGGTGAAATAATATCGATTTATATGTCCGTCTTTGTTCGAATTCGAAGCAAGAAGATTTTATTGTATTTTGCAGATATCGAATTTCTCAATATATATATATATATGTATACGTTGTTGAGATAATTTTCAATAATTTTCTAGCGAAAAATATCTTATAGAAATTTATGAAATACGTTTACAGCAAATACGCCTTTTAACTTTCGTCTTTAGATTCGCGTAAAGAGAGTGCAGTAGTGGTTACACGTCTCAAAAGATTGATTAAACGATAAGTTTTCAGTTATATGCTTATTCCAAATTGCAAGCAATTCGATGTTTCGAATTAGATGAATTTTCATACAACATCTAATGCATGGCAAGCACTTAAAGCAAACGAAGAAGAAAGAAAGAAAGAAAGAAAGATTGAATTTGGTTTTTTAAACAAACTGGATAATTGTTATTGTGGCAGACGAGATGAGCATGGCTCCGATGCTCACATTAACCATGCCTAATTACTGTATACTCGTAAGGTATATCGGCACAATTTTCCTATGTATAGTTGCTAGCATCGGTTAGCTCAATTAACGGCAATTTGAATGCGAATCTGTTGTTTTCTTACTTGCACTCTTCAGTGTTTTTTGCGCCTTTAGTGGTAATACTTTTGTTTAAAATATGTAATCGTGCATGTTCAAACAAACGTCGTCTATAAGTAGTGGCAAGCATTTGGGTAAATCTGGGAGATGGCTGTTGATGAAATATCAATAAAATCGAGTAGATGATGCTTGAAAATTCATTTGAGCGTTGGCTGAGAAGATAAAGGAATGTCTTTTAAATCTTTCGCGCGACCAGTTCTGAAATATCTCAATCAATGCAATGTAATAAGTGTCGCATTTTATCAGGAATGGGATTAAGGAAACCGTTCAACGGGTCAATTGCAGGGATAAGAGAAAATTCGCTAAAGCATATGATAGTTGCAGGTCAATTAATCTACGAAAAGTATGTGGACGACTGGCTCGAGACTGGTGCCGATAATCGTACTGCAGCTAATGGACGAGAAAAAATTTGTATGAATATATGATTCATTAAACCCTACATTACTTGTATTACAATAATATATTAAGTGTGTGCAGATGTATGCACCACCCAGAAGGAATTGAAATAGACCCACCTTTTATTGTAGTGAGGTTGTCTGTCCGTCATTTCCCCTGTCTGTCCAAAGACGAACGCCATTGCAAACGAATTGTTTCGAATCGCAAAACTTTTTCGATCACCTCCCATACAACGCCTGTTTTTATTATGTGAATGAATGTAGGGTGTCGTAGAATGTGTAATGGTTAGCAGAGACACACTGTAGTGTTTCCCTTATTTTTCTTTGCCAATTGCAGATATCTTTCCTAACATACATTTTAGCTAACTGACCTGAATTGGCCAAACGTTGATCAAATTGAACAAATAGTGCTGAACGGTCGTTGAATTAGAGTTTATGGAAGGGCAGATGCTGGGGTCATATTCAAAAAACGTGTTTGTGACTTATTGAATCAGAAATCAGGCATAAGAGAGCTGATCGCTCATTGGATGTCGCTTTTGCTCACAGTTGAATAAAAGAACTGAACGAGGACGAGTCAATTTTTATAAGAGCAAGATTTTATAAATGGAAGCTTAATTTATTACTCCGCCGCTATGCTCCGTAAACCTAGCTAACGTGGACTATTATGTGTTGAAAAATCTCAAAAGAATGTTTCAAGAGAAACGATTTGGATTAAATGATAAACTAGAAATGGATGGATATTTCGAGCATATCGATAAATCGTTTTGTATATAAGTAAAAACATTATAAACGGTCAAGGCCGACTAGCAAACACCCAGCACCATATCGTCTAACGCAATTCTTAATTTATTTTCGTAATAAAACACCAAAAACCATACTATATTCTCAGGGAGGGGCGTACCTTGGATGGGAGACTTTCAAAGTATCGAAGTGAATTTAAAATATGGACTGACTTAGTCCAGATTTAAAAAAATTAATCTTCATGTTAAAGACCTTAATATATTTCGCCTATTTGCGTTATAAGCTACTCGGTTGCTTCGATTTGTGAAATGGTCACTTTGCACGAGAGGAACGGGATACAAAAAATAAACGTACACGATCCAAATTTGGTACAGTTGTGTTTTATATCAAACCGCTTCTCATTGTAAAATATTATAAAGTGGACCGTTTGTCCTTATAACGGACGATTATATAGGACAGTTTTGAAATCATCAACTCATCTGATCTAAATTTCCCGCGTCCATTTAGTATTCCGAAATACTATTAGTCAGCGATTTTTATTGAGAAATTTTAAAAATTACAAGTTTTTTTGATGTATGGATATCAAAATGGGGTCTTGTACGGGGAGTGGTTGTAAAAATGATCCTATCTGAGGCCGAAATACGTCGATGTATCGAAAAAGAAAAAAACTTAGAGACGGGTAGACAAATTTAAATCAATTCAAAAAATGCTTTGGATCGATTGATATAATGAAAACCAGGTCTATTTTAAGCCCTACTGAATGTTCCGAACTGAGAAATGCTGGACTGATTGCTATTATTCTTAAAAGAGGCTATGTTGGTAAATTTAGTCGAATTTGGCAATTGAAAGGTGGTTTTCTCTTTCTTAAGGTCGGAAATTTCTCAAGCAGGCTGCTGCGGGTTGAATATGTAGCTTCTTTTGTTCTTGGTATTGAAAACATATATAATATTTAGTGAGTAGAGAAATCGAAGGAAAATTTCATGTATTTCCCGTTAAGGTAATAAATCATTAATTTGTTTATGTTTGGTTAGCTCTACAGCTTAACGCAGCAACGGGAAAAGCAGAGTCTGGCTATTTCCATAATACGTGGTCCTAAAACCGTATATATAATATATAAACTGAATGAATATGTAATCATTTAATGAAAATTTTATTCTTAATACTCAGATGATGAAAAAATTGTTAAAACTATTGATTATATATTGTATTTTTTTATTTTTATTTTGAATTTTATTTTTTTTTTTTATATAATTTTATCATAAGTCGTGAATATTTTTTATTGTGTATTGTTGTTGTTGTTTCGTTAAAGGTATAAAAATGAAGAAGTGATATTAAAACTTAGAGCTAAAATGAAATAAAATATGAATTTTTTTTTTCCTTGAAAAATCCTGTTAAACGCAATTACAATTTTTTATTTTATGAGTAAATGAAACTATTAATAATAATAATAATAGTAAATAATACATACACATACATAACACATAGCTGTACATATCAATTATTATCGGTCCCTACGTTTTCTTTTTTTCCCCAAAAAATGAATACACAATTTTATCATCATATAGCACTTATGCAGTTGCCGTGTGTTTAAAAAAAAAAATATTAATACAAAACCTATGAAATGCATACAATTAGTTTCTTCTAGTCTCAATTATACACCTGTTGGCTGAGTAAGGGTTTTTCAAGTCTTTTCACATTTTTCGTCCAGAACGTAGGCGACAATATGTCTGTCTACTCTTTTAGATTAAAGCGAGCCTTATTTTCCGGTTTAATTTGTTTTTTAGGACTACTTTCAGCACTTTAGCCCTTATTCGGATCAAGTGTAAACGTACCAGTAACGAACAAAATGCTTAAAGAAATATTACAGTAAGGTCTGCGGCGGTGAGTACAAATTGACTATAGAAGCAACTGTCCATCAATCAATTCAAATAGGCATTTTGCAACGTGCATATATATATATATATATATATATATGTATGTATATTTGTCAGAATTACCTTTATATATATGGAATTACCTTTATATATATGGACATTATATATATATATATATATATATATTTGTATATAAATATGCCTTTGTAGATATAAATATATATATATTTATATATATATATATATATAATATATATCTACATAATCTAAATAGAGAACAAGCGGATCGTGTTTGTTTAAAGTTTAAAACAAAAATATATAAATTTTGCAAAATATTTAACCCGATAGGTATTGGATAATAAAAGAGAATAATATATATATATATATAAATAGAAATGTAAACAATTTTGTATTGCAATCAAAAAAGTACGGAAGGGGGAAACTACAATGCAAAGAATAATATAAACGAGAAGAGTTGAAAGAGTATTTACAAACGTAATTTAATTATAAGTACAATTCCATTAAATCGTGTATAAGAAAGAACACGTATAATCAATCCACCACTCTGCAGACATACTCACCATTGATTGGTAATAAACAAAAATCGGTGTTGACGTCCCTAACGCTTTAAGACAATTAATTAATTATTTATTTTTCCGTTTCGACATTGGACGGCAACGCTTTACGTACAATTTGATCAATCGGTTGCGAATTAATTGTTGTTAGTCTCTTTAACGGGAAATGTTTCACATCGATGGGAATTGCTTCATCAAACGAAGGATGCGATGAAAGGGGAAATTTTCAAAAAAAAAAAAAAAAAAACACCGTCCGATCTTTGCTTTCGTTGCGGTTCTCTGGCAATAGTATGATGTGATTTTTTGAGCTATGCTTTCATGAAACATGAATTATGACATTACTTTGCTTACGATGGCTGTCTCATGGCTGTGACGATGGGTCGAAGGGTTTTCACTGTCCGTGTGAGTGTTGGTTTGAATTTTTTTTTGGTTTTTTTTTTTTTGGGGTTTTTTTCATAGCCTTAACGTTGTCGAACTTTGTTCCACAAATTGAATTTTTTTTTATATTAT